ATGAATAATTGTACTAATACTGATTTGTTCAACACAAATACTCTCACGAATACTTATACTCATAGTAATGTTATTACTAGGAATAATTGTGCTCCTACGAATCCTAACAATGATATTCATATTTCTCGAAATATTAATACCAATATACATACTGATACAAATATTACTACCAACCCTTTTGGCAATATAAGAAGTATTAATCTTCCTCTGTTCCTACATATATTAATACTCAAATTTTGGTTTTGTATTCTTACTACTTATGACAATGTTAATAGTTTTTCAATACTGATTTTAACACTGAAATTAACTCGGATAAACAGCTAATACAATAATCCGAATCATATTCATATAAACATTAATCATATACAATTAATACTAGAAACTACATATATATATATACACATACTACTGTATACGAATATACATCTTACTGAAATCGAAATGAAATATCACCTCGTGCGCTCAACGATGTACTAAAGAATCAGTATTTTCATACACCAATGTACCGATATACCACTATACTAACTATACCAATATACTAATGTATACGTGGCATATTAATATATAGTATGTACTCGCAAGGGGAAAGGAAGCAAATTTCAGTATGCTATACGCCTGCCGCGTAAATGCAGAAGATATGTCACAAAACAGTAACGAAAACTACGTAAATGAAAACGAAAGCCAAAGAAGCCAAAAGTTTTACAGATCATGTACGGCACTACCCAAAAAATCAAGAAAACCCAAAAACCAAAAAGAACAAAAACAAACATCCAGAGCTATGTTCCGGACCATAGTGTCCTAGATTTTGTTTTTTTGTATTTTTGTTTTGGTTTGGTGTTTTTGGTTTCGTTGTTGTTTTTGGTTTTCTTGGTTTTTGGGTTTCTTTGGTCACGACATTCGGGAACATAGGCCTGGAGATTTGTTTTTTGGTTTTTGGTTGAGCATACGCTTTTTAATTTAGGTTTGTGATATCTGCTGCTTGGTGTTGTTATGAATTTGCTTCCTCGCCCCTCCCCCCTGCAATCACAATATAATGGAGGTTGGTCAATAGGGGGGGTTACCATCGTTATATATATATATATACATGTATGTATGTATGTATGTATGTATTTATGTATGTACGTAGGTAGGTACGTAGGTAGGTATGTATGTACATACGTACATACATACATACATTCATACATACGTACATACATATATACATACACTTACTTGCTTATGTATTTATGTAGATATGAACAGGAGTCGGAGCATGATAGATATGACATCTCTATGTTGAGGCTCACGTAGTCCTAAAGGTATGGTCGATGCCTTCACCTCGCAGCTGGATGAGTCGAACCCAGTGTTGACGGCCATCTCAGACGCTATGACCGCCGAGGGCGAAGCCCTGGAAGCCGGAAACGGCCCCGAAGCAGCCAAGTGGGCAGAGGAGAAGGAGAGAGGACAGCAGAAGCTGCAGGAGATCAGCAAAAAGTACAAGGAGCACATGCGAAGCCTCAGGGAAAGAGCACCGGTAGAGGCATAGTCCACTATGCAGTTCTGGCTCCTGTCGGAAGATGGTTTGAAGCCTCTTCTGGCTCTCCGGGAAGCTTCCAAAAGGGACACTGGGTACCGATGTGGGATAATGTCTACTTTCTCTTGATATTATGTCTTTGCATAGAACCCGAAATACAAATACTTTGGGGTACTGTTGAAATCGACACCTAGGACAGCATGCAGAGCGTGCCCAGCTCTTGTGACAGCCGTTTGGGCTGGTGCCTGGCAGGGCGCGGTCCTCTTTTGTGGGTCACAGACTTATTGAAAATTGATATTCGAGGTTCCTAGATGCCAGATCAGTTGAAGAGAAGGCTCCTAGCAAATGTAATGCTGATGCAAGCATCTGCAAGAAGCACAGCTCCATAGCCGACCTTAGCCGATCACTGTCCTGTACAGCCGTGAAAGTGCGGCCAGTGCGTGTTTCAATCGCCAGGCTCAGTGCCGTTTGACTTTGCATTTGTGGCCGCGTATTATTTGTTCATTTCGGTGAACCCGCCTGTCAACACACGCTGTTGAGAGATCAGAGCTGTGCATTTGCATGGTTGCAGTGAGTCCTGAACTGTGGACCTTCTAGCCCTTTCGAGAAAACCTGGGACCCAAGCTTTATCTACCCCCTCAAAGTCCACAACCGTGCGTGGAGCTTTTTTTGACTTGGCTTCAGCGTCCTCTTGGGGGCTTTTGACGGGACGGGTCTCTTCAGCCTGCATGATCACCGTGTTTCTTCTATACGTCTATGTAGCAGGGCGTCGGTGCCGTTGCAGGAGGTGGAACAACGAGTTGTGTTTGGTGTTCACGGTTGGAGCGCTTTGAGTGTGCTCGCGACCACCGCGACCATGAGCGCCTCGCCTTCACTCAACGTGGATGCCCGGGACCTGCGCCTCCGGGGAAACAGCCCGATGTCCAAGAAGGGCCAGTGTCTTGGCCATGTGGTTTCGGGTTTCAGCTTCGTTGGTTTCGGGTTTATGGCCAAAGGTCATCAGGAGTACAACGGTGACACAAGTCCACGAACCCACAACTGCAAACCTTGCTGGAGAATCTACTCCATGGTATCAGAGGATGGGACCCCTAAAAGTTTAGAAAGCCTAAACCTCATTACTCTAAGGCCTCACCTTATCATGATGTGACTCAAAACAGCATTCAAGCGGAGGACTTACCACCATCAGACCCCAAGAGCCCATCCCGGACCCCTTCAACCACAACAGACTCCAACCCCGGGACATGAAGAAGCCCCGGGGCAAGACTAAGCCCGAATATAGGGGCCTTAATAATTAGAATAGGGTTTTGGGGCATTTTATACTAGAACCATAATAAGGAGCCCCCCCAAAACCATATTCTAACGATTAAGGCCCTACGTACATTACTCCCGCACAGTGTCGGGAACATGATGTCTTTTGCGACCGGCGTAGCATGGTTGTAGCTGTATGGGGCGTGGTTCTTATTGTGCCGGTCATTCATGCTTCACTCCATCTCTTACTTGTTCTGGGAGTTTCAGAAACAGGGAAATCTGCGTAGTGGAATGCTTACGAAAAGGAAGCCACAAGCCTAGTAATTCAAGAACCGACATATAGTAGGATCCTTACAGGCACCCCTATGGTAGAACCCCATATAGTAGAGCCCTTATTACAAGGATCCCGCATTCTAAGGACCCCTGATTTCAGGAATAGGCGCCAAAACGAACCTAAACCGTATAGGCCTCAAGCTTCCCCCAAGGACCCTTCGGCCCTCAACCCTAAACCCTCAACTCTAAACCCTAAACCCTAAACCCTAAACCCTAAACCCTAAACCCTAAACCCTAAACCAAACCTAAAACCCTAAACCATCCTAAAGACGACCAGCCAAGGAGCCCCACCGCCGTCCCAGAGGTCTCCACGGGCTGCGGCGGCGACAAGGCGGCTGTTGGCTCTTCAGCTTAGGCGTTCTGCTTAGGGTTTAGGCATTCTGCTTAGGGGATCTTAGGGGTGTAGGGGTTTTGGGGTTTCTGTTTAGGGTTTAGGCATTTAGGGTTTTAGGGTTTAGGGTTTAGGGTCTAGGCATTCTGCTTACGGGTGTAGGGGTTTTGGGGTTTAGGGTTTAGGGTTTAGGGGCTCTACCTACACCCCAAGATGTTTACCGTTAAGCCTGATTAAAGCTTAGGCCTCCAAACCATGGTTTTGGGTTTGGGCTTCAGGATTACTCAGTCCCTAGTATAGTTCTGCTAGAGAAAGTACACCTGAAGGCCTATTCTAATCGTTGTTGGTCCCGAAAAGCCCAAGGCTTTATTTCGGTTGGGTTTCGTGGGTTTGAGGTTCAGGCAGCACCGCCTCTGCCCTTCGCCGCCTTCGCCTCATTCTGGCTTTAGCTTGAACAAGTAGTATCAGCTTCGGAAGGGGGGGGGATTATTCAGTGACTATAAGGAGACATTAAAGTTTCTCAACTCCATGACCCTTCCGAGCCCGACATTTTTTCCAGGTGGCGCGAGGCATCGCCACGGGTTCCCGGCGGCTACCAAGATCGCTGGCCTGACGCTGACCCTCGCATGAACTGAAGCTTAGCATGGGGTTTGGCTGTAGCACGGCACCACTTGTGATTATCATTACCCGCCGTTGAGCTTTATTGTAGTACCCTAAACCCTAAACCCTTAACCCTAAACCCTAAACCCCTAAACCCCTAAACCCTAAACCCGAAACCCTACTGTCTCTCAGTATTGAGCTTTCAGGATGGATCAGGTCAAAGCTCGATCTGAGGATCAATGTAACAGCCCTAAGTTTAAGTCAAAAGGTTGCAGCTTAAGGGGTGTAGGGTTTAGAGTTCGCAACCGTGCTCCGAAGCCGCAGCTCAAAACATTGTTTAATCCCGGTGTAAGGTTTAGGGTTTAGGGCTTGGGGTTCCTAACCACTTTGGGCATGCAACTCTAGCAGACCGGGGGTACAATGGAAGCGGCATGCCTTCCTCATCGGACGAAGTGTAGACCCAAAGAGTGAAAGAGCACCTAGTAGTCGATGCCTGGAATACCCAAAAATCACTCTGTGGTTCCCAAGACCACCCTGCTAAAGGGATCAATAAATTGAATGGGGTGCTGAAGCGTGTCATCGTATACTTTAATCAGGGTTCCTGAGGACTAGCCCCAGACTCGTAAGGGTGTGCAACATGATTCCGATTGGGTTTCCTTGTTCTAAATACATGGTGAAATATCTCGAAACATACTCAACATATTTAGACCGCCAAACCCTAAACCCTACACACTAAACATCCCTAAACCCTAGACCCAATTAGTGTTTAGGTATTTCGATCGACCCGAAGGCCAAAACGAGCTCAACAAACTTGTGAATCGCAATCCTAGTTTTGGAGCTTAGGGTTTAGGGCTCTTCAGGCGAGAGCACTTTTCATGGCTGGCTCCAGACTGGCGGGAATGCAGGGGCGGGCTGAATCTAAACCGTCTAACCCTCTGGGGCCCTTACAGTTTTGAATCGTTCTTCCTTCAACCCCCCCCCCTAAACCCTCACCCAAAAACAAGTTAAATGCCTCAAGCCACTCTTTTTGCCTGTCCCCGATTACCGGCACATCCCTCAGCGAAAGCTGTGTTTAAACCCGAAGCCCTAACCCTCTGTAAATAACCTGTAAAGCCTTGATTAAGTTCATATTCAAGCAGTTGTATACGCCTTAAACCCTAGACCCCTACAAAGAACCTATGAAGCCTTAAGTTCCTCAGCAAGAATCCCTATTTTTAGAGGTTCGGCCTCATCTTCCTCCTCGCCTTTTTGGGCTGGCCGGGAGCACTCATCGAAGATGACGCGACTCACAGGAGAGGATTTGGCGCTTAAGTGCATACGGCGGAAGCCTAAAAACCCTCTGAGCACCCCAAGTAGTAAAGATGCCCTGAACTTTGTGCAGAGCACTCACAAGCTTGCAGACTCCCCCCGGCCCTCGGCCAGAGGGTTTAGGGTTTAGAGTTTAGGGAGATCTGACAAGGCCGTTGCAAAAGGGTTTAGAGTGTAGGAGTTTAGGGTTTAGGGTTTAGGCTTTGGTTCGCCTTTTCAGCTCTGGGCCCTGCAGCCTTCGTGGCAGGAAGATCCTCGCGTCACTTTTTCTGACCGGAATCACCTTGGTTGCTCTGGAGGACGTCATTCGTCTCGACGCTTGGGCCAACATATCCATCGTCAGAGTGCGGCAAGAAAGGGGTGGGAAGAATTTAGTAACACAATCTGGAGGGTTCCTCATTGTATGTAGATTAGCTTACAATATACCCCCAAACCCACTTTTCTAATTGTTTAGTCAAGTCCCCGGTAAGTAGAACATGCTTCTCCTGTAAAATGTTTTGGGGTGTTTCTAAGCCACAGTCGCTGGATTGCAAGGACAAGGCGGCCATCATGCTACTGGGCTCTTGTTAAGAAACTTAGTTTAAGCTACCATAATAAGTTAAGGAACTTGGTTTAAGTTACCACCATAAGTTAAGAAGCTTAGTTTAAGTTACCACAGCAAGTTACGAAACTTAGTTTAAGTTACCACAATAAGGATCTGTAGCAAACAACCGGGTTTCTGTATTCTGGTAGCTAAAACTAACCTGGTTAACAAGAACCCAGGCTAGTCTTGGCCTCCGTCATGTGGACCTACCATGCCGCACAGAAGCATCCGACCAAGTCAGAAGAGGGGCACGAGCTGCTTCATCACGACCCTTGCCACAAACTTGGACATGTCGAAGCAGCTGTCATGCAAAGCCCAAGATGCAGACCGTGTCATGCTTGCCATGTCATGTCTTTCCATTTACGCACTAGTTCGTGTGACCACAGGAGCTATCCAAAGGCTTGACGGACGTCGGAAGTGTGATTCTCTTCCTTCTCCCTGCCATGGGCATTGTTGAGTCCATCGACCACATGGATGGTTTTGCCGCCGTCACTTCTTTCATCGTCCGATACACTCAAAATAACCCCGACCGTTTGATGCCCATGATTTGCAGCTTGACGGCATTGGGTGACAGATGCCACCCTGAGCTCCAACAGTTTGTACAGTTGTTCTATCTTTCGGCCGCTATTTGCCATTTGCCGCGAACACCCCTGCTGCCCGAAGTGGCCTGATCATGGGACTCGACTATAGACTATAGACCACAGTCCAACTACAAACAGTGGAGCATCACTGCCAACCTGATGTCTTGTCGTAGACCGTCCGAGCTCTACAAGCTATGCTTGTCAGTCCGTGAGCATGCTGCCATGAGAGGCTATCCCCAGTTCCGGTTAGACAATGCTTGGCCAACAAATTTGCGGATTCACTAATATAGTCGATGTTGATGTTATCACGGCCTTTGTCGAAGGATATTCAGGCAAAAACAGCTTACAGCCTGCACCGCCATGCGTGACAAAACCAGCAGACGCAGCGTGTCGCAGGCAGTCTCTGCCTCCATGCCTCTCCTACCCAGGCCCTGTAAACACCAGCAGGACCCTGAAAGCAAGTGAACATGCGGCCCTGCCTGACAAAGCACAGGCACCCTTGCCTTCTTCTTGAGCTCTGTCATCGACAACCTAACCGCCACCATTGTGTGCATCAAGATCCTGAAGCGCGTGGTACCTCACAATCAGGCAGCTCAGCTGTGTCAGGCTGCGCATCGCCCGGTTTAGGGCTACAAGGGTGATAGAGGGGTTTTGCGTGTATGTTTGGCTGCATCTTGATTACCTGATTGGTGTCAGGGCTTTGCATCAATCAGGTGGGATCATGCCAGAGATCTCTTACTCCTTCTGTCCGTCACTTTAAGCAAGCCCACCGAGGAGTTGAGTGCATGAAGAAATTGATAAAGTTTCTCACATAGGAGTCGGATGAATTGGAAATACCATACAGTGAAACTTAGTGAAACCATACCCTTATAATTAGTCCCTATGGTGGTATAAAGTAACACCAGCCCTATTCTGGCCAGTAAGACCCCTACATTAAGCCATTAAGCCATTCCAAGCTCTTCTTGCCCCCTACATGTGGACTTCGGATTGCTTTTCTGTGGAGTCTCTGTTGAATCCTGGAGCCGTAAACCCCAATCAAGGCTCCAGAGACACCCGAATCATCCACAAGGCCAAGGGCCTCGATATTTAACACCTTCGAAGCCGAAAACCTCATGCCAGGGTTTAGGGTTGAGGGCATGATGCTTCCAGGCGTGAACTCGGCAAGCCTGCGGAAAGGGCTTTTATAAAGCATCCTACCCGGGACCCTCATGTTAACCGAAGCTGCCAGGACTGGAGGCACTCTTGTGGGGGGGTCGTCGTCGTCGCGGCCAATGCTGGAGGTGCCTGGAGCCCTATCGGAGATGCTCCTTCGGCTAAACCATGTTAAACAACAGGGTCCTGAGGGAACCCGCAAGTAAGGACTCTCAATTGATTTTTGGACAGCAATCCTAAAGGTTGTGTTGGCAAGTATGCAACTATGAGGCACTTGGACCCTTGCATTGCGGCATTGCAGGGCTTTAGATAAAGGTTGATGGCAAGCCCCCAGGATCTCACGTTGTCGTTAGGCGTTCGGCGTTTTAGGGCTCTGGTTGCTTGTAGTACATTTCGCGGGCTTAGTCCTTGGATGCTCTGAGGTTGGCACAGTGCACTTCCGAGTTTGCCTGAGAAGATAGTTCGGGTGCGCCTGAACGCACAATAAATGTTTTCCCAGGAAAGATGTAAGGAAGTCAACATAACGAGCCTCCCGGACTGTTGCTTCGAAACTGTCTCTTTGGAAAAAGGCACACAGACACACAGACACAGACACAGACACAGACACAGACACAGACACAGACACAGACACAGACACAGACACAGACACAGACACAGACAGACACAGACACAGA